TACAGGACCTGATCTCAATGAATCGCATGCTCTTTCCAAGAACACTGACTCTTGAATGGCACAGTGCAATGTCATTAAAAACTGGTTGAAGTTCACTCATTCCAGTGGTGGAATGGTTGACCTGATAGGAGGTTTCTGCTACCCAGGCCCTGTGTTCTTGCCCTCATGGGTCCTGACTATTCCAAGTTTGACTCTATAAGATCCCCAATGGCCTTCTAGTTAATTTCCTTTATGTTGAAGATAGCCAGAATCAGTTTGCTATTTGAAATCAAAGAGATGTACTAGATAGGCTGTATCTCCACGGTCTAGCACAGGATCTGGGAATGGTAGGTACTCAATAAATATTAAAGAAAAAACTACCCAGGTGTGTGGCTTAATGCTGGTTACTAAATATCTCAGAGCCTGAATTTCTTCCTTTCCAGGTAACCCACATATCTTCTGGGATCTCTGGTTTCTCAGGAGAGAAATCCCCTTGCTACTCCTTTATCATCTTCCTCCTTTCCACTCTCTAGCCTTCCTCCTCAACTACAACAACAAAACAATCCAACCCAACTTAACCCAACCCAACCCAAATTTCTCCCATTTTTTCAGGGAGAACAGCTTAACCATAATATCTGAAGCTAACATACAGATCCTGTTTCTGCTACTTACTAGCTGTGTGACCTTGGACAAATTACTAAAGCTCTTTGTGCTTCAGTTTCTTCATATGCATGTGATGACGGAGAAATAACAGTACCTTTAATAATACATGTATTAAATGAGATAATACAAGTAAGGCACTTGAAATAGTACTTAATGCATAGTAAGCACTCAAGACTTGCTGGCTATCATTGCTATTCTCATTTTTTTGTTGCATAAGCTACTGGATACCTATACCTTCAGGGTTATGTTTCTCGAGGTGTGGCTTCTAATTACCAACATTAGAATTACCTGGAGAGGTTAAGAATGCAGGTTCCTGGGCTCCACCCCAGGCCTAGTGAATCACAGTCTCTAGGGCAGAACTAGGAAATTAACATTTTAAAAATATATCTCCCAAGTGCTTCTGATACTTACCAGTTTTTTAAGATATTGAGATATAAGCCAGGTAGGTACAGTGGCATGCACCTGTAGTCCCAGCTACTCTGGAGGCTGAAGTGGGAGGATTCCTTGAGCCCAGGAGTTCGAGGCTATAGTGTGCTATGATCACCCTGTGCATAGTCATTGCACTCTAGCCTGGGCGATATAGTGAGACTCCTCTAAAAAAATATATACACCATAAAATTCACCATTTTAAAGTGTATAGTTCAGTGGTTTTTAGTATATTCACTGAATAGTACAAGCATTAGCACAATCTAATTTTAGAGCATTTTCATCTTCCCCAAAAGAAACTCTGTACCCATTAGCAGTCATTTCCTATCCCCTACTCCCCCAAAAACCCCCAGCCTAAGCAACCACTAATTTACTTTCTGCCTCTACGGATTTGCCCATTCTGAATATTTCATATAAATGGAATTATATAATATGTGGTCTTTTGTGACTGGCTTATTTGACTTGGCATACTGTTTTCAAGGTTTATCCATTATTTTTTACTGCCCAATTATATTCCATTGTATAGTTACACTACATTTTGCTTATCCATTCATGGGCAAACAGAATGGACATTTGGATTGTTTCTATTTTTTTACCTTTATGAATGAGCTATGAACATTTATGTCCAAGTTTTTGTGTGGATAGATGTTTTCATTTCTCTCAGATACATAGCTAGTTGTTGAATCGCTGAGGCATAAGGCAACTTTATGTTTAACATTTTGAAGCACTGCCAAACTGTTGTCCAAAGTGGCTACAGCATTGTTTCTACCTGCAATGTGTATGGGTTCCAATCTCTCCACTTCCTTGTCAACACTTGTTATTGTCTGTCTTTTATTACAACCATCCTAGTGAGTTTGAAATGATGTCTCATTTTTGTGGTTTTGATTTGCATTTCCCTAATAACTAATGATGTTGAGCATTTTTTACATGCTTATTGATCGTTTGTGTATTTTCCTTGGTGAGGTCTATTCAAATCCTTTGCTCATTTGGGCATTTGTCTGTTATTACTGTCTTTTTTTTTTTAATTTCAGCATATTATGGGGGTAACAGATGTTTAGGTTACGTATGTTGCCCTTGCCCCCCTCCCTGCTACTGTCTTTTTTTTTTTTAACTTTTTTCTTTAAATTTTTTCCTTTTTTTTTTAGAGACAGGGTCTCACTCTGTTGCTCAGGCTGGAGTGCAGTGGCATGATCATAGCTTACTGCAGCCTCAAACTCCTGAGCTCAGACAATCCTCCTGCCTCAGCCTCTAGAGTAGCTGGGACTTGCCTGCCACCATGCTCAGCTAATTTTTTTCCTTTTGTAGAGACAAGGTTGCACTATGTTGCTCAGGCTGGTCTTGAACTGCTGGCCTCAAGTGATCCACCTGCCTTGGCCTCCCAAAATGTTGGGATTACAGGCGTGAGCCACCACACCTAGTGTACTTATGTTATTCTTAAGACAATCGTATCTCTTTAACTACTCTCCAAGTTCCACAAAGGTAGAGGGTACAATTTTGTCACTGCAATATTCCCTAATACCCAATGCTTGGGGACATAGAGATCTTTTAAAAAAACATAGACTCACTGCATCACTTTCTGGTTTAAAATTCTCCAATAGCACATGGATTGTGCTTTGAATAAAGCCCAAATTCCCAAACATGGCCATTAGGTTGCTATCTGATTGCTCATCTCCTCATCCATAACTTCTACTTTCTCCAGTTGAGCCATATTTGTTTCCTTTCTGATCCTCAAACACACCCTGCTGTTTCGTAACTCAGAGTCTGTTCCCTCTGCTTGGAAGCTCTGTTTGATTTCTCATCCTTTAGGTCTCAGCTCAAATGTCATCTCTTTCCAGAGCTTTCTCTGCTCACTTTGTCCAGTGTTACCGCCATCCTTTCACCAAGTTATTCTCAATCATGCACTGTTTCATTTTTTTTCACAGATCTGACATTTTCTTGTACATTTATTTAATAGTATTACAGCTAATATTTAAGCACTTATCATAAGCACTTTTCATACATTAACTAATGAAGTGGTGCTTATCAATGGGCTCTCCAAAGCCCAAACCCCTGATTTGTCGTGTTTACTGATTTCTGTGGTGTAAACACTCCCACCGGGAGGGATTTCAAGCTACCAACCTGAGGTAACCAAACACCTTTCGGGAAGAGGACAGGGGTATATAGTATTTACCACACTGATAACCTATAGAGCACAGATTTTTCAAAAGTAATAAAATAATTAGGAAATGATGAATTTTGAGTACTTATTCCCTTGTTTTTAAAATAATTTATTTAATTGTAAGTTCATATAATTTAATTTTCAATAATGGCTGCATTTAAAAGCAACTGGCATAATTTCTAATCATTCCTCAATTGTCTCTAGCAAGCCTACTATCAGTACATTTTTCAGATGGGGGACCCACGGCACAGAAAGGTTAAGCGACTTGTTGAAGATCGCAGAGCTAGGAAGTGTCTACAACTCCAAAATGTATCCTCAGAACCCAATATAGTGCCCGGCAGATAGTTGCCATTCAATAAACAATCATGTGGGACTCACGAGGAGAAGAAAAAGATATTCTGTGATGTGGACAAGAGCTTGCTCTGTTTGCTCTGCTCTAACTCCCAGGACCATGGGGCTCACAGACACTGTCCCATTGAAGTAGCAGCTGAGGACCACCTGGAGGAGATCTTAAAGCATCTCAAAGTTCTTTATGGAAAAAGATCCAAGAAAATCATAGAGATCTACATGAGGAGAGAAGAATAAGGGTGGGCTATGTGTATCTATGGGCAAAGAGGATCGGGGATGAGTATAGGAAGCTGCCTCCAGCTCTCCAAGAGGAAGAAAAACAACATATACAGAGACTGAAACAGGAAAGCCAAGAGATTTTTCAGCAACTTAACACAAGTGAAGCCAAAATGCATGAAAAGAGGAAACAACTAAAAGAAATGTATAGGACACTGATGGAAATATGCCATAAACCAGATGTGGAACTGCTCCAGGATTTGGGAGATATACTGACAAGGAGTGAGTTCGTGCGCAAGCACATGCCCCAGCCTGTGAATCCAGAACTCAGTGCAATGCCCATCACCGGACTGGTGGACAGGCTCAATTGCTTCCGAGTGGAGATTTACTTCCATAATGAATACCATATCATACCAATCACCATATCATGATGATTGATGATGCGAGAAGCTTGATATTTAGACCTGACCACGAAGATGCATCTTTGAATACTGACAGCTCTAACTACTTTGCTGTGTGGGGAGTCCAGGCCTTCACCTCTGGGAGACATTACTGGGAGCTGGATGTGGACCTCTCTAGAGACTGGGCTCTAGGGGTCTGTAAGGATTCCTGGATAAGGAAGAACCGCACACTCTTGGAATCTGAGGGCATATTTCTACTTTTATGTGTGAAGGAGGATAATCACGAGACTCTCTTGACCACCTCCCCTATTGTTCCTCGTTATGTCGAGAAACCTCTGGGCCGGGATGGTGTGTTTCTTGATTTTGAGAGTGGAAGTGTGAGTTTTTTGAATGTTGCCAAGAGTTCCCTCATTTGGAAGTACACCAATGGCTCCTTCTCTTTCCCTGTCAGGCCCTTCTTTCTCATTGGCCACAGATGAGCAGGGATGAGTCCGGAACCTGACTGCAAGTCTGGGAACTCCATGTGCTGGGAAGCCCTACGCAGTTGAAGCAAACCAATCATACTTTACTATCTTCTAAGTTTTGTCTACTTTAACATAACTTCATTTTACTGTTATTAAAAGTGTGATGCAAAACAAACAAAAAAAATCGTAAAGCAAATAATAGTTATTGAACAATCTTTAAAAACATAAAAGGTAATCATTTTAACATTAAAAACATGCACACAAGAGTGAAATTAACATCTCTTTCAAGCTCGCTCCCAACCGCACACAAGTGACAACTTTCGCGTCTACTTTCAGCAGCGCTTCCCCGGCGCGGTCTCGCAGCCCGGCCCGCCGCAAGGCTTCCTGGGAGGGGTAGTCCCCATGCCCGGCCGGTCCGGCGGCGGCAGCGGCGCGCGCCCGCCCGCGGGACTACAGAGGGTGGCGCGCGGGTCGCGAGGCTCTTCCGCCTCGTCTTCCCTTCCCGCCTGCGCGCCCGCCCCAGTTATCATGGCGGCTCCCTTGGCCCTTGTGCTGGTGGTGGCCGTGACCGTGCGGGCGGCCTTGTTCCGCTCTAGTCTGGCCGAGTTCATTTCTGAGCGGGTGGAGGTGGTGTCCCCGCTGAGCTCTTGGAAGAGAGGTGAGAGCGCCGGCTCCAGTCCGCGGTCAGGCCCCGCCTGCGCTGTCCTGGCCTCTGTGAATGGGAGGCGGGGGCAGTGACCGCAGGCGCGCGGTGTTCTGAGAACTGAGCGGCTAGTGGGGTCCTGGGAGAGGGCGGGAGGCCGGGACGCGAGGGCGGGGCTGTTGACGGGGCGGGGGTGGCGTGGGCGCGGTGTCGTGAGGTATGGGCCCTGGGGGCCGGACCACCTGAGGGATGGGAATCGGAGGGGGCGTGTCCCATTCGGAGTCCTGAGCCGAGGGGTGTGGTCCGAAGAAGGTTGGGATAAGAGGAGGGGCTGCAGTGTGGAGTAGTGTTTGCGCTGGGGACTGGGATTTGGCGCGGGACAGACAGCGGTGCTCCCTGCGGTAGGGGATGGTGTGTGAGAGGGTCCAGGATGAGAGGACCAATCTTGTTTTAGTGAGGAGAGTCCCTGTGCATAGAAGCCTCTTCTCAGTCTGGGACGTGCAGTGCAGTTTTTCCTGCTGTTCCTTGTTATTTATTTAAGGTTTATTATCAAACATTGTTTTATGCTAGTGCCTACAGTGAGACACAGAACTTGGGCTGAAGGATCCACAGGCTAGTGAGAGAATCAAACAAAGAGTTATAATAATTTGTAAGAAGTGTACTTCCTCTGTCCACTCAGTTCTGTCCTCAGTGTTCTGACCCTGAATAAACCGTCCTCTCCTTTTCCAGTTTCCTAAGGATGTGTGGGATTTGAGCTGATTCTTGAAGGACATAGGGGCTAGAAAGGAAGATTAGAGAAAAGGGGAGTTCGAGGTAGCAGAAGGTAAATAGCATCAAGAAATGTTCAAGGATGTAAAATATCCAAAGTAGGGGAGTAATGACGTGGAGGTTAGTTTGGAGCCAGAGTTTGATGATTTTTTTGTTTTTTTTGAGAGAGTCGCTTTGTATTCCGGGCTAGAGTGCCGTGGCGTCAGCCTAGCTCACAGCAACCTCAAAATCCTGGGCTGAAGCGATCCTGCTGCCTCAGCCTCCCAAGTAGCTGGGACTACAGGAACACGCCACCACGCTGGGCTAATTTTTTTTCTATTTTTAGAAGAGACAGGATCTCACTCTTGCCCAGGCTGGTCTCAAACTCCTGAGCTCAAGCGAACCTCCCGCCTCAGCCTCCCAGAGTGCTGGGATTACAGGCATGAGTCACCACGCCAGGCCAGTTTACTGATTTTTTTTAGTTTAATTTTTAAAAAAAACTTTTTTACTGAAGTACAGTATATGTACAGTGCACATAATATAAGTGTAGAACTAAGTGAATTTTTTTTAAGGCAACCACGAAAATGAGGTTTATTGAGGAGAGAAAGATAGGATTATAGAGCAAGAGCAAGATAAAGGTTTATAGAGTGTGATACATGTGCCACAGATGATGATTGGACCTACTGTTGCAGCAAAGAGAGAGCAAAAGGAAGGGGCAAAAAAAAAAAAAGGGGTTGGTTTGGCTAGTTGTGGTGGCTCACGCCTGTAATCCTAGCAGTCTGGGTGGCTGAGGCGGGAGGATTGCTTGCGGTCAGGAGTTCGAGACCAGCCTGAGCAAGAACAAAACCCTGTCTCTACTAAAAATAGAAACAAATTAGCCAGGTAACTATGGAAAAAATTAGCTGGGCATGGTAGCACATACCTGTAGTCCCAGCTACTTGGGAGGCTGAGGCAGGAGGATCACTTGAGCCCAGGAGTTTGAGGTTGCTGTGAGCTAGGCTGATGCCATGGCATTCTAGCCTGGGCAACGGAACCAGGCTCTGTCTCAAAAAAAAGGGTTGATTATGGTCTCAGTCTTGTTTTATAGTGCCCGGATTGGGACCTCCCTATTGTTCAGACATCACCATGGAACCACTTTGGAGTTTGGAGTTGCATGGCCTGAGTCTTACTACCCGTCTGGGGTGCTCTAGGTCAAATTCCGGACTCTATGGTACCTATGCAGCTTGGCCTGTGGGCTAGAGTGTCTTCTGCTAGCTGGTACACTAAGTTCTGATTGGCAGATTCTAGGGTAGTCTCTCCTCACCCAGGTATGGCAGTAGCTCAGGGCAGGATTAAGGGAGGACAGGACCAAGATGGGGGCCTGGGACCCACCCTTGTCCTTCCTCCCAGGTGGGGCAATTGCACCAAGGCAGGGCACAATCTTTCGTCCCTAGGATACCCGGAATCCCTTGCTAACTACCTAACATCTCCCCACTTTGTATTCTAGAGGCCCAAATCATTGGGTAGGGGGCATTGGCTCATCTTTCTGCTTCCTACTGAGTTGAGGGGTGATGACCCCTATTAGGGTGACCTCTTATAGGTTCTCCGGGGGTCTCTCCAGGGTACTTCAGTATATGTTCTTTGTACACTGTTGTAGTTATAGGTATGAGGAGGAGGTAGGCGCCAGGGCTGACAGAGAATGTAGGACTATTTGTAGTTTGATGGCCTCTAGACAGGATGAAATAAATGTAGTTAGAAAATTTATGAGGATTGGCCCTGATATAAGAATTTCCAGTAAACAAAGTAACAGGGTGACCAAGGGAATTATTAAGGACATCCACCCTGGCCTAGAGGTCTCACCTCAAGTCTGGAGATTGGAGGCCGACTCTAGGATGGCATTGATGTTGTCCTGAACCTGTCCTGACTTGTTAACAAAGAAGCAGCACTGTTCTTTTAAGAACAAGCAGGTGCCCCCTTCTGCTGCAGTTAGGAGATCAAGGGCCTGCCTATTTTGTAAGGTGACCTCTGCAAGTGAATCTAACTGTTCCTGTAGTAGGCAAGTGTATGCCTGGTTTTTATCAGGGCTTGTGCTGCCTCCTCAACCAAAGACTGCTGCAGGCCCGGGGATGTGCCTCCTGTGGCTATTCCAGCAGTGACTGCTGTTCCCATAAAGGTAGCAAGTGGTGGTTTTGTTTGCCAGGGTAAAAGGTGTTTTACCCATGGATAAACACTTCGTGCTACTTATCTGAAGGAGCCACAGCAGGAGGAGTTTGCTTGAAGAGGTACTGGAAATCCTCCAAGGGAGTACATGAGTATTTGTCTCTGGTGTTTGGAGTCCTTGTCTACAGGGGCCGGATGAGTTTCATTTTGGTCTTTCCATGACTTCATCCAAGTGGGTATCCCTGGAACCTTAATAGCAGCTGGGGTAGAAAGTAAGACTGGATAAGGACCTTTCCACACCAGGGTTAGCTGGGATGTGGGGTACCTATCCTTCCACTGTTTGATGAGCACTAAGTCCCCGACTGACAGAGAGGATTAGGGGAAGAAGGGTCTCTAGGCAGTAGCTTGTGTTCTTGTAATGTCTGCCAGAACTGAGCTACTTAAAGGGCATGTTGGTGTCCAGCCGATTCCTATGAAGCAAAGGCAGGACTGTTGTCATTCTGTAAGGACCAGGGCAGGCCAAAACGAGGTATCATGTCCTCCATAAGTCTTAGGGAAACTCCAGCAGCCTTTTCAGTCCTGCCATGAAGCTTCAACCCAATTAGTAAAAGTGTCAATAAACACTAATAAGTGCTTGTCTCCTCTATAGGGAAGCATTTGGATGAAATCTATTTGCCAGTCCTCACTGGGGTATGACCCGTTTCATTGAGCCAGAGAGGCAAGTTTTACCCTCAAAGCCCCTTGAGGATTATTGGTTTGGCAGATGGTGTAGAGTGAGGTAACTTGTAAGAGGCCTGTGAGGCTGAGTTCCTCCTGAAGGTAGAAAGAAACCCACGCTCGCAGTTTAGAAAGTAAGTCACATCCTAGCTGGTTGGTGGGACAATGTCACATCCTCCCACAAACAAAGCAAAGGGAGAGTAAAGAATCGTTTGGTAGGGACCCCAGAGACTCCAGTGACCATGCAGGATTAAGAGCTCAGTTTCCTGGAGTAGGTGAGGAGGACAGAGTGGGCAGCCCTGGTATCAAGAGGAAAATTCACTGGCCTGCATGCCACCAGGAGGGTTACCCTTGGCTCCAGTCCAGTGATCATTATCTGCCAGGAGGGCTGACAGGAGCGGGCTCCTTCATTGTTGTACCATAATCTGGTATGGGGACCGACTCCCCTCCTGGGATAATCCCATAGGGCAGAGTATGGTCCAGTGACCTGTTTGATGGCACCAGTGACAGGGGGCCTTGGGTGGCCTGTCCTTATTGGGGCAGTTCTTGGCCCAGTGCCCTTTCTGTCAGCAGATGTGGCATCAGAGATCCCTTCCTTTGGTGGAGGCTTTGGCCATTGATCTGAACGTGGGTGCCAATGCTGTCATTAACTGGGCATGCCTCGCCTCCTTCCTCCACTCCTTCTCCTGAGCCTGAGACTTGAACTCAGAAGTTGTTATAGAAAACAGAATTAGCAGCAGCCACCATACCATCCAGCGATAGATGGTTGGGTCCTGGACAAGCTTCTGGAGCTTTTTCCCAATATGTGGTGCTGCTTGGGTCAATAATTTGTCTTTATTGTCACCCATCTCTCATAGGAACTAAGACCGAGAGTGGTATGTCTCTATTGCCTCCCAGAGCCGATCCAGGAAGACTGTGGGGTTTTCCTTGGGCCCCTGGGTTATGGTGGAGACCTTGGAATAGTTGACCGCCTTTTGCCTGGCGGCCTTGAGGCCAGCCTGGCTGCATACTAGAAACTGTGTTCTTTCCCACTTCTCTTCTGAGGATTTATCATCACACCCTGAGTCAGGCACAGACACTGCTGTTTCACCCAGTGGATATCTAGGATCTGTAAGGTGTAATCTGGTGGTAAACTTTTGTGCCTCTGTTAACACCATGGATTTCTCAAAATCATTTAAAGTCTCAAAATCATAGAATAGCATGTACATCTTTCTAAGCCAAGTCATAGTAGACGAAAATGCTGGAATGTCTCTAGATCCTTAATCTGGGTGATTGGTTTAGCTTCCCAGATCCTGTTTTATTTGTTTTAACTCTACTAAAGGGCTTATGGACCAGGGTTGGTCTGAATTCCCCTGATGTTTCCACCAAGTGCAGGAGCCGAGTCACATTTCCTCTTGGCAGAGGTAGAGAGG